GCGCGTTATTTTACCCCCCCCCCACACGTTGCTAATCGATTGATCACTTAATAATACCATTTGGCCTGTTTTATATATTACTAATTTTCAAGAATATTTTTACTTTTAGAGTTACAAAGAAATCCCTCAGTTGAAACCACACCATCATCCGCGCTATCTTTTCGAGACTTATATCCTTTCTTTTTTTATTTTCTGTATTCATGTTTAAAGCATTAATATCTTTGCTTTATATATGTGTCAAATATGAGGATGTTGTCCATAATTTGGTTATCATCGATGAAATGCGATCAAAATACTGCCCACTATTTATTCGCGCAACTTAACTTCAGTGGCTAATGGAATGACCATTTGCTATTGCTTGGTCTCTATCTCTTATTTTTCGATGTTTTTGTTCATGATGATTCATTTCACCGTTGATCTTGTTTCAGTCAGTCTGTTTCTATGACCACTTTCGCGGAGGCTAACATGTCAGACAATATTTCGAACGTTCCCGGCCCTCTTCCATCGTTTGCGCTTCGGCAAGCAAAAAACGGAAGTCTAGATCAGAATCCTTTCATACACTTGCCCAAAATTATTCTTAGCTGCATCCCGGGTCTTCGGACGGTCTTGTGAACAAGCAGTAGCTGTTTCGCTTTCTTTGTTCATCTTACTTGCGCTCGCAAACGATGGTAAGATCGTAAAAGGAATTTAGACATGAGTCTGTCGAATGAAGACTGTAACGTCTGCAGCACTGCATCGCCTTCAACCATTTCGCTACAGCGAATGTGTGAAAAACTGAAACTGCAGCATCGGTCGGGAAGCAGGTGCATTCTGCTTATGCAGACGTCTTAAGGGTGGCGATCGCAGTCAACAGTAACAATTACCATCTGCCCGTTCATGAACTTTTCTCGTCCAACTGTTCTCTGTAGCCATTCGACGGTTCAGCAGAGAAAAATTTAAGGTCAACGGGTTATGAAACACTTAAGCAGCACCTGTCTTTAAACGACTGTCCTAACGAATATAAACGTTTGCGTTAATAAAGTCAATTTTAAGCATATTGCTTGTTTATTAAGCCATATATTAACTTTGCGATGAATTCATTAACGTTTTAAACACGTTACTATGTTTCCTTGACTCTGACTTTACGTGGTTGGAACGAGAATTCGATGCATCTTGCACTGCATGTGACACCGGTACAAAATTGTTGAGCGAAGAGGAAGCGATTGACCTCATCTTGCGCTTGAATCCTCGTATTCCAAAGAAACAGGCGTCCCAAAAGATAAAGGTATATGTAGGTTTTATTTTTATTTCAAATTCAAAGTGCCTATCCACCACCTCAGAATGGAACGTTCTGGCGTACGGTATTTAGACGCAGTTTCTGTATAACTGGACAGTGGCCATCTGTGTTAGCTAATTTGTTGATTGTATCATATTAATTATGGGGATGGGAAGACAATTTCTTTGAGTGAAGTACAATGCCGTTGTCACACTTGTGAATTTCTGATTACAATTCTATTGTGGTGGCTGTGCGAGATGGAGAGTCAACGCGAGATCCTCCGGTCATGAGTTTGAATTTATATCGTTAGCAGATAGTCATCGATATTAATTACTTGACTACACCTGCTGTATTACACATCAGCGAAAATCTTTTCTTGCCTTTATCAAACTTCAATTTCGACGATTTCCATTTTCTTTTGTGATTTCACGGCGATTGTTGCGTCAGATCGTTCCGTTGGCGAACAATCGTTTAGCCAAGAGTCGGCATCTCTGCTCTTTGCAGACATCAATCTCAATCCTGTTTTCTTTTACGTTTTGGCAATTGCTTTTTTTTACCACGTTGCATGCCGATGGATAATTCTCTATGAGCTTCTTGTTGATCATCGCACGAAAATGCAAACTTTCAAATTGAGAGTAATAGTGAAATTTTTGTACTGTGCTTCCAGAGTGCTTTCAATCGATCTATAGCATGACGGTCGAAATCCTGGAATTGATACAGATAATTATCTAGCAATTATCTAAATTTTGACTCCCATCTTGATGGATGTTGGTTGAATTAATGTTGTTGCATGGCCACCGTCACGGAGTCATGATATTTAGTGGAAATGGTTGAAATTCAGGTTTGATTTATGGCGCTGTGTCTGCTTCTCGTACAGATATATACTCTTTACTCTGAAGACGGACCGAGCTTCGTCCGAGACGTCAGATGTCCCTGATTAAAGAACATTTTATGCATTGTTTTCTTGTTTTTCTCTAACCAAAAGCTTATATCACCTTCCGCATAAAGCAATCTTGTACATTTTTCTATATATGTTTAAACAGTCATTAAATTAAATCAAATTAATTAAGTTAAATAATTGATACAGATGACCACCGTCCACTTATGTAAATTCAAAGAGGCTACCATAGCACCGTGTTATGAGAGCTATCGTTGGTCTACACCCAAAGAGCATTCGTCAAGACGGTTAGTAGTATAACAGAAATACCTATTATATAGGTGTTGAATGCCATATGCTTAGGTTTTTTCTGCTGCAGGCTTGCAAGTCTGATGCAGTGTTTTTTCAACTATTTCATCACCGAATTTTTGTAGGAGGTATGCTTCTGTTCGGCACCTAAAACTCCCGTGCTGAACGCGTCGCAGTTCTGCAATGCTTATAAGGAATTGTCGACTCGCTTGGAAATTTACTTTCTTGTTTCAAAGTACTTCATCATCGGCGCTTTGGTCCTCCACATAAACGAACTGCATTTAGGTTTTCCAAGCAGGACTGCCTTCGTATCGAGGATCTAAAAGTGTTTCTGGAGTCTGAGCAAGGGGTGAGCCAGAGCTGTTCTTTCACCGTTTGCCAAATTTTTAATTTTTGTGTTTGTTCTTAGATGTCTAGCGTAACCACCGAATTTTGTACCCATCTCATAAATGACTTTGAACCATGTGATTTGGCAAGAGAGGCGAAATGCATGACGGTGGACGGCTTCACGGCGTACCTTTTGTCACACTACTGCAACGTGCTTCACCCAAAGCATCTGAAAGTGTGTCAGGACATGGAACATCCGCTGAACGACTACTTCATACTGACCTCGTTCAATACTCACTTACTCGAGGATCAGTTAAAAGGACCGTCCGGAGTCGAGGGTTACATTCGAGCGTTGAACGTCGGCTGTCGGTTCTTGCAACGTAACTTTCTATTGTTAATTAGTTCAGTTAATTTAAGCTTAAAATTTTAATTACTGTTTAACTGTACTTAAGTGCGGAGTTGTCATTATCGTTTCAAAGGTTAGGCAGCGTGTTTTCTTCAAAGGGTGATTCTTAAACAGTTCTTTCAGGTTGGTAATCTTGTTAGAGCATTTCTCTCTTGATAGTTTTGATTCATAGACATGAGGATATATGTCATCCCCTGTTTACCAGTGCTTTGTTGGCTAACAATTTCAAAGTTTACGACAACCGTTGCGGTTTCGTGGATCCGAATACCTACGATTTGACCGTTTATTTTTTAGCTTGGCCTGTTTACAGGTCTCCGTGATATTCGCCTATGTTAATCTTCATGAAAGGAAACAGCACACAAGAATTTGATTTAAGTGTGTGAAAAGGGAATGAATTTTTTGTTTTGCAAAACTGTTTAATATCATCACCATTTTTATCTTATTATGCCACGCGAAGGAAACTCTCTGAAATCTCAGTTTCGCCGTTAACTTTTTGGAGAGAGTGTTTCGTCCTGCCTTTACTTAGATTGAAGAGCTCTGTCATGAGCCCTAAAACGTGCATATGACTTTCATAGACTTCCTTATATCTTAAGGCAAATCCTTGTGTAAAAGTTAGATTTTGACTACGAAATCAGTAAAATTATGCGTCTCCATCTGTATTCACTGTCGTCAACATCAGCCGTTTCTGATCCATTGCTGGATAAAGGCCTCTCGAAGAATTTGCCATAAACTTCAGTTTTCTGTTAATTTTATCTATCTTGATCCAACCAGTTTCTTCAGCACATCCTACAGTCGAGTCTTCCTAGTGACTGGTTACTGAAGCTCCGTTGTGAACCAGTATTATGTCGCTCTGATCCAGTAATGGTCGGTTTTGCAACGTGTCTTGCTCTTTGACACTATCTGTACTAATCTAGTATGTTTAATGGAACACTCATCGAGACTATAACACATTATTCCACAAATGGAATTCACTGTCCCTTCAGTGCAAGTCTCGGAAAATGATGCTTTGACCAGATGAAAATTGTTGGATAACCTTAAAAGTTTATCTCTGAAGGAATCGTGATGGAGTATTTTGTTCGTACCTTGGCAATCATATTGCAGCTTTGCGCAAAACAGTTTATTTGTGCACAGTGCCAGATGGTGAACTATTTAGCGATTGACGGATTAACCGTTTCAGCCCATATTTCACGGACCTTTCAGCGGATAGTGTACTAGGGAAGTTCGGTTGTTGTCGTCTGTAGCCCAGTCCCTCTTGGCTGAAAACAAATATGATGCCTCCTCAACAACTTCATCGCCACATTTACCTTAATGAAGTGCCGTAAAATGCACTCCGAAAGGTCGGTACCTCTGCATCATCAGATAAAATGTTGTATCGCATTGTGCGTAAATAAATTATGCTCCTTGCCCACTGAATGAGTATGAGCATTTGTTGCATTGACGTGCTTTATATCGAACCCGTCCTGGGAAGTTGTCAATTTCAGATGCAATTATTCTGCGTAGTTTCCAATTTAATGTAGATTTTTATATTTCCTTAGGGCTTGGGTCGAGCTACTGGTTCATATTAGTGAACTGACGAGATCACTTCCACATAAGCAAATCACTTTCCACTTGGGCATGCATTGAAAAGTGTCATAACATTACGTATTTCTTGTATGTTCCTTGTTGTTCAGCACACTAGGTTTTCAACTTAACTACGGTGCATCATAATCAGGGCACAAACCTAGACGAATCAGATCTTAACCGTCACACATAGTTTTGCTGTGTCGTTCATTTTATTCATTTACTCGTATAAACTGTTGAATTTTAATTGGCTTACATTGCAAATAAATAAAGAAACCGGGTTATAACGGCGAAAATGTACCGTGTAAAGAAAGAAAAATTATTTCTAGCTTTACGGCGACACTGCAATAGCACAAGACAGAAGGAAGTTTTACACTGAGTTGTACCGCAATACTGCACCGCTTCCTTGCTTCTAGTCGCTTAAGGAGACGATTTAGGCAGGCCATGGCTCCTTGGTATTTAAGTGCCTGTGGTGCACTGGGCGCATGACCTCGTTTTTAGTTGGGTTGAACCAGGGTATGTTCATTTAAGCCCAAACACGTTTGCCACTATCCGCAGACTCATATAAAGAATATAACCCCGATGTTCTGAGGTAGCTTCCAGGATTAGGAACTTTTCAGTACTGCTGTTCAATAAATAATAATTTGTACATTATTTATGATGTGATATATTGACCGGCGGTATTGAAAATCTCCAATATTCGAAGCAACACCAGAACAGCGGAGTTATATTCTTGTATGTATGAAACAACGGATAGGGGCAAACGTATCCGGGCTAGAACATGCGCTTGTTCAACCCAACTAAGAGATGCGGTCTTGCGTCTTGTGTACTGCAAGCGCTTAATTGCCGTGGAGTCATGGCCTGCCTAAATCGTCCCTCTAGGTGACTAGAAGCAAGGGACGGTGCAATATAGCGATCAGACTTCAATCTGTCTTACATTACCGTAGTGCCGTTGTAAAGTAATAAATACATTTTTCTTCCTTACACTGTAGTTTTTCCCGTTTCAATTCAGCATCATTTTTTATTTATGATGTGACATACTGATCGGTGCTATTGTAATGCTCCCACTCCTGGAAGTTAACCCAGAACATCGAGTTTATATCTGTTTTGTTTAATTAGCTTACTTGTTAAGTTTAATAAAATATTGAAGCGTTTTATTGTTAGTTGAAGTATGGTACGATGAGGATGAAAAGTTGCTGGTTCGCCATGGCCTAAACACGGAATCGAAAGTGCAGTTGCTAGAAGTGCTGAAGATCATCAACGAATTTGCGTTTTTGAAATCAGAGTAATGTTAAGGTATTTTTACATATGTTGAATCTTATGATTTAGGTATCCGCTTATCATTCAGATCGAAAGTCATTTGCAAGTTGTAGAGCAGAAAATTCTTGCTTCTCAGCTATTGCAAATCTTTGGAGACAAGCTTTTTTGCGATGGCGATGGGACGGATTTTCTAACGTTGCCCTCTCCACAGTCACTAAGAGGAAAAATACTGATTAAGGTAAAATAATAAGGCTTTTACTCAAATTAAATCCTTTCTTCTGTGTTCAGGGCAAGAAGTTGGCCGGTACCGAAGATGGCGAGGTTAGCGACGAAGACGAAAGTACAGACTGGACGAAGTCGAAGAGGGCACTCCGAAAAATGGTTGACTTCGCTCTCTTTCTCTACCACAGTAAACTTTTTTATTTCAGGGTTCTGTGAAGAAAATGCCTATGTGCATCGAACTTTCAAACCTGACGTGCCCATTTTTGCAATCTCGAGGATTTGTTGATTTGCAGACAAGTCTAAAATCCCGTGAGTAGTTGCCGATTGTTACAGGTTACGTTTAGAGTGCATTCATTAATTTCATGTGGAATATTTAATTTTGAAACCTTTTAAAAGTGGATTTGAAGAACTACCGGACGATCACTTTGTTACCAATCATATAGAATATTTTAGCGAAGGTTCTGACGAACAGACCTCCAAAAACTTGGCGTTGTACAGCGAAAGTACCATTCAGACGCTGATTTACTACAGTGGCTCATCTCCAAATGATACAACAAGTAATTCAGACTAGCAGCGAATATCAGTTTCCTTTCTGATTGAGGTTTGACGATTTCAGTAAATGCTTTCGTCGTAGCATACATCATACTGTGCTGGATTCCTTGAGCCGTGGAATCAAGAAATGTTTTCTAAACCTGATTGCCATGATTTATAAGAATGCAATGCTAGTTTGAAGCTTCACGAAAGCTCAAGCAACTTCAGAATCAAAAATGGTGTCTGATGGAAGTGATTCAAATCATCAAAATTATTCACGGCAGCCCCAGAAGAGGTTTATCAAAACACTCGGTTAGGAAAAATAAGTGCTTAAAATAAATGGGACTACTTAAGCTGCCTACGTTTAGCGGACAGTTTTCTGATCCTCTGAAGATCACTCAAAAGGAGCCACAGAACAGTGCTAGCGTCACAGTAAGACTGAAAATGAACCTAGGACTCGAATCATGTTTATTACGTGACCCTCCGACCTGTTGAAGCCGGTGAACTTAGGCTTCAAGGAATGTATACGTCTTTCTAGAACAACTTATCTCTGCAATGGAGAACCTAACTTTGCAAAATCAGCTAAATAAAAATTGTCTTGAGTATTTTTAACGGCTAAAAATGTTCTATTCGAGATACTGCGTTCTTGAAACGGAAAGTTTTCAACCAGTGTTAACCTATGGATGCGAAACCTGGACGTTATGTCTGAGGGCTATTCATGGACCGCATACTACGCAGTGCAGTGTGGAAAGGTGTATTTTGGGGATAACACGGAAAATAGGGAGGCAAAAGTAAGGGGAAGAGCGCGAAATAGAGTCTACGATGTCATTGCCGGAGTTATTATGTAAAAATGGCTATGGGCCAGACATATTGCAGGAATAATGTACCAACGCTGTACCAGAAAGTTATTATGTTGTGTTCCAGGAGAAAGCTAACATTCGATGGGAATTCCTCCAGTTCGATGGTGGAGTGAGGTAGAGGAGATCGCTGGATCAGGATGAATGTAAATCGCAGGAAACAGAAATTTATGACCAAGTCTTGGAGATGCGTTCGTCCATCAAGAGATCGAAAACGGCTGATGATAACTATAACTCAATTATTGAGTTTAGACGGCATGCCACAGTCATTCCAAATTAAGTTAATCAATTTTCTCATTTCTTGCGTCACGTCATGCTATTTGAGTACCGATTATTATTTCGGGTACAGTCTCGAAGGTGATATGAGGTACAGGTGGCAGTAACGAAACCCTTCTACTGTTGGCACTTTTGTATATTTGACATTTCAAAAAAAAACACTGACTTTTTGTGCAACATTGTAGTTTTTAACCTTAATGAAAACAGAACGTTTCCTATGTCCATGCTTGAAAACATCAAAATAAACATTATAAATATCTTTGAAATGAACCTAAGTTACAGACAACGGTGATGTGAGCTATAATTGGTCGGATGAGCAAAGGAAAGCGCAGAAATATACAGCTGAAAATTGTAGTGTAGGTAACGTTTAATTCTTTTTAAAGTTGGTGCCTGGACTGAACCCTCTTCTGTTTCCTCTATCGTGATAGCGAACTGATCTGGTTCTTTAGAACTTTATCTTCATATATACGCAAAGTATTTTGTCATGTTATTTGGCTTGAACTGTAAAGCGTTATATTTTAATGCTTTGCATTGCAGAAAAACCGTACGAAGTATGCAGTTTGTATGAATCGTCTGCTCTGCGTTTAATTGGGACATACAGCGACGAATTTCTTGCCTACACCCGTCGATTCTTGACCCGCGTCTATCCAAACGTTGTGCGCATCGACTCGTCGAATTTTAACCCGCTCGATTTTTGGAGCCACGGCTGTCAGATGGTGGCCCTCAACTTTCAGACGTCCGGATTGATGACCGACTTGATGCGTGGCAAATTTTTGGTCAACGGTAACTGCGGCTACGTTCTGAAGCCACCCCTTCTTCGCGAGGAAGGCAACTACTACTCTTTCAGGGATACCGTTCTGCAGTACAAAGCCCAAGTGAGACTTACTTTGATACGATTGTTGTTGAACAAGTGTTGTGAACATATTGATTTCATATCATCGATGTTGATTGTTTGAACATTCAGCTGAAATGTTACAGTTAAAGGGTTCCTTCTTGTAGATGCATAGCATAAGGCAGGAACACGATTTTAAAGTTTGTTACAACGCCTTTCTTTGCGATTAACCGCAACATCATTAGATACGACGTTACAGTTAAGGCAAATTCGAAATAGCTCTTCAAGTCAGTGATAAATGAACCTAATTTGATTCCCCAAACAGACTTGTTTTTAAAAAAAACCTGTCGGTGTATCAAGCTTCACTGAATAGAAAAAAACTATATTTGCAGCTAAAATATCAATTTTCTAACACCGACATTTTTATTGATCCGGATTGATGAATTTTTTCGTTTCCAGACCGTGTATCTGAAGGTTATCAGCGCTCAGCAGTTGCCCCGGCCAATTGGCTCATCGGCAAAGGGTGATTCACTTGATCCTTACGTGATCGTGGAGATCTTCGGTCTTCCAAATGACTGCGCTGAGGAGAGAACGAAAACGATCGAAAACGAAAGTAAACGGTTAAATTTACCGTTAGTCATTTGAAATGCAGCGATTCAGGTTTGAACGCAATATTCGACGAGACATTTCAGTTTCAAGTGACCGTTCCTGAACTGGCCTTAGTTCGATTCCTCGTCCTGGACGACTATTACATCGACGACGATTTCATTGGCCAGTACACGTTGCCATTAGAGTGTATGCAAACAGGTTGGTAAACTTCAGCTCTTATGCTATTTTATAATCTCGTTCTCTCTTATATGCTTTTTACTGTCGCGATATCGGATGATGAAGTTGGACAGTAGTTAGATCTGGATGATTGTTCTAATATAAACTTTGAATGTTCGGTGCGAGTATATTATTCCCATTGTTATCATTGGTTGATCCGATGAAACGTGTCATTTATTATGTTGTTTTCGTTTCCAGTGCTATGTTGGATACTGAATACGTGCCATATTTCCCAAGTCTTGTTACTCACACGGATTCTATGCAAAAATTTCAGCAATAGATATACATCCCTTTCTAATAAGACCAAATAAACTATGCTTAATCTACAGTAAAATACCAGCGTCTGTGTATGTCGAGATAGCCACACAGGTTTCTCATTAATATTTTTCATCACCCTCTCTACAGTTCTCACATTGGCGGTTTCACATGAATTTTCGTTGCCTTCATACAGGTGGCCATGTTCAGTATCATTTAGTCTGTTGAAAATTCTACATTTTAATGATAACTTTTCAGTAGTCTCACCTTTTGACTATTTCCAAAAAAATGTACAATAAAATCTCCGGGTTACGCATATGCATATCTCTAGGACCTACAAACCCTCTCAGATAGATTGTTGTAGTTATAGAGTGGAACAGTGTAGAACTAAGCAGGCCAATATGGATCAAATTGTTCCTTTTTTAGTGAATCAAGGTGACGACTTCAAGAACACAAGATCTTAGAAATGCTAAGGAGTTTTGCGCTTTGCGTTGAGGGATTCTCCTGACTTTGTGCTAATCTGTGGCGTGGTGACACATTGCGTATGAGGTCAACTTAAAACTCGAACTCCGCAGGTGCCGAGTTCGATTCCCGTAGCGTGCTCTCTGTCTTTACCACGAATCTGCTTTTGCAAAGAACTTGTCAGACGTTGCTTCATGCGTACAGTCGGATTAAGTGCAGAGGGATCCTGGTTTGAGCCTCGGTTGTGGTCATTCCTTTTTCTTCCTTCCGAGCTTGATAACTGAATACCGCTCTGATAAATGAAGGAGAATGAAACAAGAGAATGCGGTCTATGTTTCTTACATAGCTGCTGTCGAATCCGCCGGTAAAAAATTAAGGCATTCCTGGCTGATGACATGGAAAAAAAAGTCAACCCACCCACCATAAAAACAAGTGTGTTCGAATTGGTCTCATTATGTAATTATCAGGAATACCGTCATTCCAGCAGTATAAACTTTCCTTTCCTTCATTCGTTTGTGGCAAGATATTTGCTTTTTAATAAATTTGCTGAAAGATTACCAAGAAAATAATTCTATTGCATGCTACATATCGTATTAAGCTATGAATGTTATTGATTTGTTAACATTTTCGCTATCTTTGACAGGCAATATATGAAAGAACGCATTTGTTTCCAAATTTGTTTTGGAATGATGGATTGATTGATGAGCTATGAATTATTTTTAAATTCATTTTTAGGTTATCGACATCTAACTCTGTTGAACGCATACGGAGAACCGATGGAAAACACCACTTTGTTTATACATACGTCAATATCGGCGAACAGAAAGTCTTCGAAGACTGGTTCGTATCGACTTGGGCGTGGCATTTCGCAGAGCGGTTTAAAACTGTTGGGCATAAAGCGCATGGACAGTATTTTCAAGGTTCACGCAAGGAATAGTGCCTTCCTGAAAAACTAAGATGTATTTTAGAACGCGGTGCCTTTGATCGCCGAAACTCGAGAACTGAGGGAAAGCCTTGAAAAGGCATTTGAACAGTGGCAGGAGTTTTCCGGCTTTGAGCCGGGGGTTACGCTGAGGCAGGGTCTTTGGAACATGCATGCTCGAATCAGGTCAATCGCATCTGAAGCTCACGACTCCCCGCAGTTTCGGTTCATCATGGAGAATGAGGTATACATTGAGCATAAATTTCGTTTCTTCACATATAGTTATTGAAAACCGAAAAAATGCAAAAAACGGTTTATCTATGTACATCGCAAACGAATAAGTTGGACACTCTTGTGATTGACAAGTGCCGATGTTTTGACTCGTCTCTCGCGAGGAATCTCCAAGGTGGTGGATTCTTTTGC